CCTCCCTCCTCCCTCGTTGTCGTCTTCGTTGGCGACGTCGTCGTCTTCGTCGTCGCCTCGGCGTCGGCGTCGTCGTTTTCGTCGTCGTCGACGTCGGCGTCGTCGTCGTCGCCGCCGTCGTCGTCGTCGTCGTCGTCGTCGTCGTCGGCGGTCTTGCTTCTCCGGCCTTCGTGGGGCGCTCTTGAGACGCCCCCGAGGGCTCCAAGACGACCCCAGAGCGATATCTGTGCTCGGTCCCGCATGGGTTTTGCAAACCAAGTTGCGGGTGGGTGGGTGGGATGATTGCGCGAGCAGTGGAGTTGACAACTTCAAGTTCGGCAAGTGATTGATTCTCCTTTCTAAAAACAGAATAGGATCCACCCCTCCCCCCGGCGTTATCACTCCCCCTTTCGGGTATGTAAATCATATACGATTCTGACCACATGTCCATCCTAAATGTGAATTTACAGTATCCCCGGGGGGGCGGGTTCCCCCCCCCTGAGGTTCCCTTGTGAAAAACACTATGCGGTGACATTTGTTGTTCTAACATCACACTTTTTCACGAATCCCTTGCAAAAAATGGGACGAAGTGCACACGCGCGCGTCGTCGCGCGCGCATGCCGAAATCCTTCAAAAACCTTCGGTGCCAGAAGGATTTCGCAATCGAGTTTCAAACAAACATACAGAAACAAAGGGTTTCGCAACACTGATTTGCTAAAAAAGCTTACGCGCGAGCTCTTGCGAAATCTTAAGACAACCATTTTTTTCAAGATTTTCACAACATGCTACCAAACGGGCGTCGCGCGCGCATGTCGAAATCTGTCGAACGCCCTTGCGCGTGTGCCGTCGCGAGAACCCTCTGCAAGAAATGGGACGAAGTGCAGACGCGCGCGTCGTTGCGCGCGTATGCCGAAAACCTTCAAAACCCATCGGTTTCAGAAGGATTTCAAAATCGCGCGCCCAAAAAACTTACAAAAAAAACAAGGTTTCGCAACACGGATTTTCCACAAAAGCGTGCGCGCGCGCTCTTGCGTCGTCGTCGTCGTCGTCGTCACCGTCCTCCCTCCTCCCGCGTCGTCGTCGTCGTCGTCGCCTACGTCGTCCTCTGTCTTTCCTCGTGTTCGTGGTCGTCGTCCTCTTTGGCGTCGTGGTCGTTTCCGTCGTCGTTGTCGCCGTGGTCGTCCTTCCTCCTCCTTCCTCGTCGTCGTCTCGTCCGTCGTCGGCGTCTCGTCGTCGTCCCTCCTATTTCGTCGCCGTCGTCGTCGTCGTCCTCGTCGTTGTCGTCGTCGTCGTCTTCCCTCCTCCCTCGTCTTTGTCGTCGTCGGCTTCGCCGTCCTTCCTCCTTCTTCGTCGTTCGCGTCGTCGCTGTCCTCCCTCCTCCCTCGTCGTTGTCGTCGTTGTCGTCGTTGTCGCCGTCGTCGTCCTCCCTCCTCCCTCGTCGTCGTCTTCGTTGGCGACGTCGTCGTCGTCGTCGGCGTCGGCGTCGTCGTCATCTTCGTCGTCGTCGTCGACGTCGGCGTCGTCGTCGTCGACGTCGTCGTCGTCGTCGACGTCGTCGTCGGCGTCGTTTACGTCGTCGTCGTCGTCGGCGTCGTTGTCGTCGTCGTCGGCGTCGTCATCGTCATCGCCGTGGGTTTTGCAGACCAAGTTGCGGGTGGGTGGGTGGGATGTTTGCAAGAGCGCCGGATGTGTCAAGTCATGTGTTAAAATCAATTCTCCTTTCTAAAAGAGTAATAAATTCTACCCCCCCCCCGGACTTATCGGGTCCCCCGCGCGTGCTGTAAATCACATATGATTCTGACCACATGTCCATCCTTAATATGAATTCATACCATCCCAGCCAAGCCGGTATCCCCCCCCCGGCGGTTCCCTTGTAAAAAACACTATGCGGTGACATGTTTTGTTCTAACATAGCACTTTTTCACGAATCCCTTGCAAAAAATGGGACGAAGTGCACACGCGCGCGTCGTCGCGCGCGCATGCCGAAATCCTTCAAAAACCTTCGGTTCCGGAGAGATTTCAAAATTGAATTTCCAAAAAACATATAAAAACACATGGTTTCGCAACACTGATTTGCTAGAAAAAAAAACGTACGCGCGAGCTCTTGCGAAATCTTAAGAAAACCATAGGTTTTCCAAAATTTTCACAAAATGCTACCAAACGGGCTTCGCGCGCGCGCATGTCGAAATCTGTCGAACGCCCTTGCGCGTGTGCCGTCGCGAGAATCCTCTGCAAAAAATGGGACGAAGTGCGGACGCGCGCGTCGTCGCGGGCGTATGCCGAAATCCTTCAAAACCCATCTGTTTCGGAAGGATTTCGAAATCGTGCGTCCAAAAAACCGACAAAAAACACAAGGTTTCGCAACACGGGTTTTCAACAAAATTGTGCGCGCGCGCTCTTGCGTCGTCGTCGTCGTCGTTCTCCCTCCTCCCTCGGCGTCGTCGTTGTCGTCGTCGTCGCCGTCGTCGTCTTCTGTCTTTCCTCGTCGTCGTTGTCGTCGTCTTGGCGTCGTCGTCGTTTCCGTCGTCGTTGTCGCCGTGGTCGTCCTTCCTCCCTCGTTGTCTTCGTCGGCGTTTCGTCGTTGTCCCTCCTATTTCGTCGCCATCGTCGTCGTCGTCGTCGTCGTCGTCGTGGTCTTCACTCCTCCCTCGTCGTTATCCTCCTCCCTCGTCGTCGTCGTCCGTCGTCGGCGTCTCGTCGTCGTCCCTCCTATTTCGTCGCCGTCGTCGTCGTCTTCGTCGTCGTTGTCATCGTCGTCGTCTTCCCTCCTCCCTCGTCGTTGTCGTCGTCGGCGTCGCCGTCCTTCCTCCTTCTTCGTCGTTGGCGTCGTCGCCGTCTTCCCTCCTCCATCGTCGTTGTCGTCGTTGTCGCCGTCGTCGTTTTTTCTCCTCCCTCGTCGTCGTCTCCGTTGGCGACGTCGTCGTCGTCTTCGTCGTCGTCGTCGGCGTCGTTGTCGTCGTCGTCGGTGTCGTCGTCGTCGTTGTCGTCGTCGAAAACATTGGAGACGTCGTCGGTGTCGTCGCAGTCGCTGTCGGCGGCGCCGTCGTCGTCGATGTCGCTGTCGTCGTCGGCATCGGTGTCGTGGCCAAGTGCCATGCAGTACCTACCGTCACGGTCTTGTCTGAAGATGTCTTGCGACCAAGTTGCGGGTGGGAGGGTGGGATGTTTGCACGAGCAGTGGAGAGGACAGCTTCAAGACGGTCAAGATTACTCCTTTCTAAAAGAGTAATAAATTCTACCCCCCCCCCGGACTTATCGGGTCCCCCGCGCGTGCTGTAAATCACATATGATTCTGACCACATGTCCATCCTAAATATGAATTCATACCATTCCAGCCAAGCCGGTATCCCCCCCCCTGCGGTTCCCTTGAAAAAAAAACACTATGCGGTGACATTTTTTGTTCCAACATAGCACTTTTTCACGAATCCCTTGCAAAAAATGGGACAAAGTGCACACGCGCGCGTCGTCGCGCGCGCATGCCGAAATCCTTCAAAAACCTTCGGTGCCGGAAGGATTTCGCAATCGAGTTTCCAAAGAACATACAAAAACACAGGGTTTCGCAACACTGATTTGCTAAAAAAGCTTCCGCGCGAGCTCTTGCGAAATCTGAAGAAAACCATTGGTTTTACAAGATTTTCACAAAATGCTACCAAACGGGCTTCGCGCGCGCGCATGTCGAAATCTGTCGAACGCCTTTGCGCGTGTGCCGTCGCGAGAATCCTCTGCAACAAATGGGACGAAGTGCAGACGCGCGCGTCGTCGCGCGCGTACGCCGAAATCCTTCAAAACCCATCTGTTTCGGAAGGATTTCGAAATCGCGCGTCCAAAAAACCTACAAAAACACAAGGTTTCGCAACACGGATTTTCAACAAAAGCGTGCGCGCGCGCTCTTGCGTCGTCGTCGTCGTCGTCGCCGTCCTCCCTCCTCCCGCGTCGTCGTCGTCGTCGTCGTCGCCTACGTCGTCCTCTGTCTTTCCTCGTGTTCGTCGTCGTCGTCCTCTTTGGCGTCGTGGTCGTTTCCGTCGTCGTTGTCGCCGTGGTCGTCCTTCCTCCTCCTCCCTCGTCGTCGTCGTCGTCCGTCGTCGGCGTCTCGTCGTCGTCCCTCCTATTTCGTCGCCGTCGTCGTCGTCGTGTCGTCGTCTTCCCTCCTCCCTCGTCGTTGTCGTCGTCGCCGTCCTTCCTCCTTCGTCGTCGTTCGCGTCGTCGCTGTCCTCCCTCCTCCCTCGTCGTTGTCGTCGTTGTCGCCGTCGTCGTCCTTCCTCCCTCGTCGTCGCCTTCGTTGGCGTCGTCGTCGTCGTCTTCGTCTTCGTCGGCGTCGGCGTCGTTGTCGTCGTCGAAGTCGTCGGAGACGTCGTCGGTGTCTTCCTAGTCGTTGTCGTCGGTGTCGTCGTAGTCGGTCTGAACAGGTTTTGCAAACCAAGTTGCTGGTGGGTGGGTGGGATGTTTGCACGAGCAATGGAGAGGACAGCTTCAAGACAGTCAAAGTGGATTGCGCCACATAGATTGCACCGCGTAGAGTGCAACAACTTATTGTTAGGGGTCCACGTTGGCTAGCATTGTTTGTGGTTTGTTGTTAGTTGTCTGTTGTTTGTTGTTCGTTTTCTGTCGTCGTCCCACCCGCGACCCGGCCCGCGACCCACCCACGACCCACGCCGCGACCCACGCCGCGAGCCACCCGCGATGCACCCGCGACCCACCCGCGACCCGCCAGCGACCCACCCCGCGAACCGCCGGCGACCCACCCGCGACCCACCTGCGACCCACCCGCGACCCAGCCGCGCCCCAGCCCGCGACCCACCCGCGACCCACCTACGACCCACCCGCGACCCACCCGCGACCCACCAGCGACCCACCCACATTGCTTCAACGAAAAAATCGGCGCCTGCGGCGGGTCTGTTGTAGAAGTTGCATAAATGTGGCGCCTTCCGCGGGCTTCTTCAGAGCCCCGCAGACTGCCGACGTCCCCGCCGCCCCCTCACTCTTATCCGCAACTAGCACACCGCCACGCCCACACGTGCCAGGGAGGGCACGGTGGCGGATTATGGTACCAGCAAGCAGGCCGTGGCCGACGTGGCGCAAGATGGCAAGATCTGCATCCTAGACATCGACACGCAGGGGGCCCGCTCCATGCGCGCTCAGAAGCTGGATGCGAAGTACCTGTTCCTGGCTCCGCCCTCGCTGTCGACGCTGGAAAGCCGCCTCCGCGGCCGAGGTACCGACAAGGACGAGGTCATCCAGAAGCGCCTCGAGGCGGCTGGCGGCGAGATGAAAGCGGCCAAGGAGCCCGGGTTGTTCGACAAGACTTTGGTAAATGACGACCTCGAGGAGTGCTATGGCGAGTTCGCACGTCTTATGGCCGACGAGATCCAGCGGTGCCGCGCGCACTAGGGGCCGCGGCGGCCGGATCTGGCTCCCCGTGGGTCGAGCTCGGCCTTTATATGTCAGGCGCCCAGTATATATCAGCCCAGCAGGCATGCGCCCGAGCGAGCAATCGGAGCAATCGCTTGCAGCGCATGCGGTGCTTCATCTTCCCACGGATGGGGTGACGCCTCAGTTCCCCCTGTCCGCCCCCCTTACTCGGGTGTTCAATCATAGGCCTCTTGTCAGACGCAACTATCCAGCTCTCGCGCAGTAGATCGCCGGTGACCGCCGAAGACCGCCGACAGCCGGTGATCGGCTGCCGAATATGTTTGGTGCTCACAGCGTGACATACCGACCCCGGCTTCGCTTCCAGGCAAAACCAGGTAATACCACGCGCCACTTCGTCAAGCAGCCTGGCCGTTGCGGGCCACTCCATGAGTAGTCTGGTATCGTTCGGTTCCCGTTCGGAAGCGAGGGCGGTCGGAAGCGAGGCAGGTTCGTCTGCCTCTCGGGTGTGCGGCTCTCCCAGAGCCGAGCGCGCAGGCCACCACCCGTCGCACCGCGCGCAGCGATCGGCAGGCCGCGCGCCAGGGGTCGCTCGCCCTTGCCTCGGGTCACCCGTGCGTGCGGACGAGGGCGAGCGGCAAGGGGCCCGTGGTCGAACACGCGGCGCTCGCTAGCGGAGATCGTGCCAGGCTTGCCGGGCTCCGTGGCCTCCCTGCCGGCGTCCGGGCGCGCTCGACGGGCGCCGTGCTGCGGGAGCGCGAGCGGGGAGTGCGAGGGCAGGCTGATCGCGCAAGGGAGCAGGAGGGGCATCCTCGTCATCGTCCCGTCTCTTCTTGGCGGCGCGCAGTCGGGGCTGCGCGAGGGGGCGGCGGGGGAGGGGGCGGGCCTCTGCGAAGCCGCTGTGCCTCTTCGGAGCCCTCCTGGCCTCCGAGAAGACTCCCTGGAAGCCCTCGGGCCCTTCCGAGAGGGCCCCCGCCTTTTCGGGTGGCCGCCCCCGTCGCGCCATCCCCTCGCGCACGCGTGCCGCCAGTCCTCCTCCCCGTCCTCGGGGGAGAGCAGCGGTGCGCCAGCGCTGACCCTGGCCAGGCGCATCCTGGGCCCCAGGCTCGGTGCACACGCCTGCCTGGCCGAGCCAGGGGGGCCGGGGGGCCCGCCCTGAGCCCAGGACGGGCCCGGCCAGGGTCGGTGTGGGTGTGCAGTGGAGGCCCATGCCAAGAGACACCCTGCTTGCCTCCAGGGTGCCGCGGGTTCCCTGGGCTTCCATGGTCTTGCAGTGGGGAGCGCGACGCTCCCACGCCAAAAACCAGGGGACGCCCTGGGGTCTCGGGGTTGGGCTTCTCGTGGGAGGTCTCTTGTGGAGTGGCCTCCACCGGATGCCTGGCGTCCTGCCGCGCCTGGCCTCCTCTCCCCCCTCCTCCTGGTCCTCCAGGCGGCTCCGGAGAACGGTGGCCGAACATGTACGAAGCCTGCTGCGCCGGCCTCGGCCAGGGGCGAGGCAGCCATGCCACGCGTGCCGGCGGCGGCGGCGGCGGCGGAGCTGGACGATGACGGTACACAGCTCGGGAGGGCGCGTACGTGCTTGCAGAGGCCGCGTGCCAGATTCTTGACGCAGCCTACCCTGATGGCGGAAGGGGCCACGAGGACGAGGAGGAGGAAGGACGACGAGGGCGACGGGGAAGACATCCGGGAGGGCAGCGCAGACAAGGAGGGGGAGGACGGGGCGGGAGGATGGCAGGGGAGAGGACAGGTGGCGCGCCCGCCCGTGCCGCCTGGCAGCGACAGGCGGGAGAGGCATGCAGACGGAAGGCGGCTCCAGCACGAGGGCCCCACCACCTCACCTCCTCCTCCTCCTCCTCTTCCTCCTCCTCCTCCTCCTGCTCGTGGGATCGAGGGTTCCTCGATCCCACGAGCAGTGAGAAACAGAGAGGAGGCACGGGCAGCGACCGCGTGCTTCGGACCCGAGCCGCATGGGCTCGAGCTCGCCGCGATCAGCGCGCGACGGCCTCTCGTGTGCATGGCCGCGGCAGCACCGGCGCTCGCGCTGCCAGAAGACGTGGAGGCGGTCAGGGGCAGCGTCGGGGGGGGCTCTCTCTCTCTCTCTCTCTCTCTCGCTGCACTTCCACTAACCTAGGCCAGAAGAGCATCCTTCAAGAACGTGAGACCCTCCGTCGGCCAGAACAAAAAATACATCCAAGGGTACCCTCCCCGGGAGGCACAAGAACACCCAACAAAGACGAAGAACACGAGGGTACCCTCCCCGAACCGACCTGGACCCGAAAAATCGCCTGTTTGATCGCCGAGGGGGAACCGACAGCTCCAGCCTGGCCAGGCGCGTGCGGAGTCGCCATCGAGGGCCCATCTCGCGATCTGTCGGCGATGCATCGTCGATGGAGGCTCGATTCTGGCCCCGGCCTTGCGGAGGGTCGGTGGCTCAGGTCTCACGGCCGCGCGCCCGCTTCATCCGCCTTCCGGTTCCTCTCCCGTCCTCCTCCCCCTTTTCCCCTTCCGGGGTATCCCCCCAAGTCGCCGGGCGTCCTTGCCCGCGCTCGGTCTTTCAACCCCCCCTTCCCTCTGGCATTTGGCTGGGGCGGCTGGGCCGGACATGTGGTGTACAGTCTTTGAGCAGGCCTTGCGGAGGGTTTCCCGTTTCACGTCCCATCGGGGGTGTCTGGGGGGGTGCCCCCGAAGTCTGGCCCCGGCCACAGGCGGAACGCCGGTGGAGGCCGGCCGACGTTCGGCACGACTCCTGCAGACGCGCGTCCGGGCGGTTCGGCCCCAAGAGGGCCAGGAGTCGCCGATTGCTCGGTCCAGACCGTGCAAGATGGCCTCCTGACGGCCCACGAAGTCTCGAAGACTTTCTGAGAAGCCTCCAACATGGCTTCCAGGAGGGCTCCGAGAGGCAAACATCATGGATTTGCAGTGGATTTTCCCATGGTTTCCGTGTCTCCGCTTTTTCGGCTTCCCAACGCCCCGAGACGGCCCCAGAGGCCCCACTGATCGCCCCCAGACGGCCGCAGAGGCCCCCGAAAGGGCGCCCAGACGGCCCAAGAGGTCCCCAAGAGGGCCCCATGAGCACCCCCAAGAAGGGCCCCAGAGGCGGAGCACGGACCGACATTTTCAGTTTCCCGCCCGCAGAGGCCTCAGGAGGCCCCGAGGAGACCCCCGAGAGGCCCCAAGAGAAGCCCCCGAGAGGTCGGCTCGAGAGGGCCACGAGGGCCCCGAGACTGCCCACGAGGGCCCACGGATGGCCGGAGACGCCACGACAGAGCGTCACAGCGTCGGACGGACAGCATGGGAACCCATCGAATGCGCTCGCGCGCCGTCTCGGCCGGCGGTGGGGCCCAGGTGGCGAGAGCTGTCCTGTCGTCCTCGTCGCCCGCCTCCATGCTCAAGGTCTTCGTTGCGGTCCCTACCGCCAGCCTCCTCCTGACGCCTTTCCTCCCTCCATCTCCCCTCCTTCCTCCTTCCTCCTTCCTCCCTTTGCTCCCGAGAGACTCCACAGCGGCCCACGAAGCCTCTGGGAAGCCCCAAGAAGACATCTCCGAAGCCACCGTTGCCTTCGTCGCTCCCTCGAAGGAAATTCCACTGCCCTTCTCCTCTGCCCAACCTTCTACCCCTCCCCCTCGAGTTTCTACCCTCCTCCATCGTCTCGCTTCCGAGCTGTCTCGGTCCTTCTCCTCCAATTGTGTCCTGCACCTCCTCAGGAAGCCCCGAAGATGCCTCTAGTGGGAAGCGGACAGCACGGGAACCGCACTGGGCCGCTCTGCTTGCGCACCCTTCTGTGCGTATTCCAGTCTAGCCAGCGAGCGTCCAGCAGTCGAGAGAACTCGTGACCGCCCAAACGCCCGATACAGGGTCGCAAGACGGCCTAACAGAACCGCAAGACTCAAGAGCCCCACAAATCCGCCCAAGCACGGCCGACGAAACCCTTATGACGGCCGTGAAAGGCCCCCCGAGGACAAGAAGACAACCCAGAACCACCACCAGCACAGCTTCCGAAGGTGCCAGACGGCGGGAGAGAACACAGAGACGGCCCAGGAGCTTCGAAGAGGCCCCGAGAGCACCCCCAGACGCCCACAAGAGGCCCCGGAATTGAACGAAGGAAGGAAGGAAGCAGCGCTGCGGGAGGTCCCGCGCCCGTGCCCCTGTGTAGGGCTGCCGGGCTCGCTAAGTGAAACTACAGCCGGATCAGTCTGCGTAGCGCTTGCGGGGCCGCCCAGGCACGCTAGTGCCCCCAGGCATCCAGTCCAGCAGCTTGGTGGACCAGCGCCCGTCCTCGCACTTCCGGACGCGGCTCTGCAGCTGGCGCTTTCATTCTTGCAGTTGATCGTTCCAACTGCGGTGGCCAGCGCGCCGGACAAGCCCTTCGGCCTGTAACCTAGTCTACCCAGTTTTTTTGGCTCAACACTCATACTGGCCAACTCGAAATGTCGTCGCGGCGTCTGAAGAATGCGCCGCAGCATCTTTCTCTCCTCAGTCTGTAGCCTGCGAGCCCGCTCGGCCGTCGTGGTCCAGCATCCGCTGCCGTACAGCACGGAAGAGGTCACTGTGGCGCTAAAAAGACTTATTCTGCAGCGCAGCGGGTATTGCTTACTGGCCAACTCTTGTTTGAACTTGCCAAATGTAGCCTACCCACGAGAGAGGCATTGAGTCAGTTCGTCGTCGTGGAAGTTCGCGAACGTAACTTGTCTGCCCAAGTAGAGTATCGCCGTGGAAAGGAAGCACGTCCACGCGCCCTTCGCCCACCTGGACTGGTTCTTGCCGCAGAACCCCGTGCCAGACTTCCACGTTCGCCAATATCTTCGTCTTTCACATGTGCAGACTGAGCCGTTCTCGCATGCCACCTTCTGCAAGTCGCAGAGCATGTGGCGAATCTGAGCACAAGACGACCCCATCAACGAACTATCATCTGCAAAACGTAGCTTGTGAGGCACTCGCTCCCAATTCGAACACCGCGCCTCTCCTTTCTCCACGCGCACTTCAAGTCGCGCCTGAAGTTCCCCAAAAACGCGTTGAAGAGAGCCGGGCTTAGCGGGTCGCCCTGGCGCGTGCTTCTCTCCAGACTGAAACCCGGCTGCTTCGGTCTGACACGACTTGCGCCGTCTGTCCCTGGTACACACAACCCAATGTCTGAATGCACGGCTCCGGGATGGGCGCGCAGTGCAGCCCATATATTGTCGTGAGAAGCTGTATCAAAAGCGTTTTCCCCGACCTTGAGGAGGGGTTCCCGTTTAGTATCCCCCTGGGGGGGCCGGGGGGTACCTCCCCGGCCCCCCCCCAGTCACGGGCGGAACGCCAGCGGAAGCCGGCGGAAGACGGCTTCCGAAAGGCACGGGCGGCCCCAAGATAGTCCGCAAGATGGTCCAAGAGAGCCACGTGTCGTCATCAGGTCGGTCCAAACCGTCCAAGATGGCCTCCAGACGGCCCAGGAAGCCCCCAAGACGCCCGGGAGGCCTCCAAGAGGCCCCCCAAAAGAGACCCAAGAGCCAAAATTCACGGTTTCCCATATGTTTAATAAAAGGTTTTTCACGTTTTCGCTTTATTGGCTTCACGACGCTCCAAGACGGCCCAAGAGACCTCAAAGATCGCCCCAAAACGGCTCAAGAAGCCCCCAGGAAGCCCCCAGACGGCCCAAGACGCCCTCAAGACGGCCCAAGATGCCTCCAAGACGGCCCAAGAAGGCCCAAGGAACGCTTCAAGAGGGGCCCCAGAGGAGGGGCAGGGACCGACATTTTGGGCCCTCCGCCCAAAGAACTCCACAGGAGGTCCGAAGAGGCCCCCAAGAGGCCCCAAGAAGCCTCCAAGAGGTCTCCTAGGAAGCAATTGGAGGTTCCAAGAGGACCCCAAAACTGCCTAAGAGGGCCCCGAGATGGTCGGAGACACCCCAGGGCCCGAAGACTGCCCAACAGGGCTCCAAGGTGGTCGGAGACGCCCCGACAAAGTGGCACAGCATCAAACGGACAACACGGGAACCAACAGAATGCGCCTCAAAGCGGAGCAGCGTCAAACGGACAACATGGGAATCAGCATTCTGCGCCCTAGAGGCATCCTCTTCTTCCAAGGTCGGGGTTCGTGGCAATATCAGGTTCAAAGCCGATTGTGGCAATCCAGAGGTCCCTGCCGAACTCCCGAAGCTGTTCGTGCAGACGTGTCAGCGTGAGTAGATGATCGTCGCGCGAGAAGCCTTTCTTGAATCCAGCCTGGTCCACGGATTGCTTAGGCGCAAGATATACCTGTAGCCAGCTATGCAGTACCATGCTAAAGAGTTCGTACAGAACTGGCAACAGTGAGATCAGCCGGTAGTTCTGCAGTAATGTGGGATCACCTTTCTTGAAAAGTACGGGCGCATGAGTGCTTCCAAGACGCCAGCGGCTCACCGCAATTGTAAATCACCTCCGTGTACAGGTCCGCAATATCTTCCAAGAGGGCTGGTCGGCATCATTTGAGCATTTCTACCAGAACCCCCCGGCTGCCAGCAGCTCTTCCTCTTTCATGCGCTTCACTTGCGCCCTTGCGCCCGGACCTGGTCGGCGTGACTGGAGGTATACTTCGAAGGCGTCCACTGTGGCAGCTGTTGCGAGCGGCGATGGTGGAGGACGCTGCACTTGAGAATACAGGGATTCGCAGAACGTTGCGAATGCACCAACAACGTCTTGGCGGTCTGTTCTGGTCTGGCCCTCTGAAGCGAGGACGCTCGTTGGGCGAGCCTTCCTTCCTCGATTGTGGATGGCAGATATATTTCGCACGCCCTTGAACTGCTTCAGTATATCGGAGATATCGTCCTACCTGCGTGCTCGTGCATGCCTCCGTATCTCTTTCAGCAGTTCCTTGCTGATGACTTCGAGCGGTCTGTGATCGCCCCCAGCCTGCCCACGTCGCGCCTCTCGTCTCTCTGCAATGGACTTTCGGATTTTGTCGTTCTGGCTCGGCTTGTCCCCGCCCCTGCCGCGTTGGTGGTCTGAGCGGCCGGGCAGAGATTGCACCACTGCTCGCTCGATGTCTTCGCACTCTGCTTGCGGGGACCGAGCGCCGGCAGGCCGATCCCGGGCATGACCTGAAATGGCCTCGTCCACCTTTGCTGCAAACGCTTTGCAAGAAGGAGGCGGCCACCTTCCCTTCACAGGCGGGCGTTCTCTGCCAACGTTCGCAGTGCGGATCTCGACTTTGAGAGATACGCATTTGTGGTCCACTCCAACGCAGATGCTGTTTGTTGTCTCGCAATCCAAAGCCATGCCGAGGGCTTTGATGTTATGCCGAACTAATCGATTTGACGGCGGCATCCTGCTTGTAAGTAGGTCCATTGTTCCTCAAGTGGCTCATTGAAAAACGTGCTTACCACAGCCATCTTGTCAGAGCGAGCCCAGGAAGACATCCACTCTCCCCTTGGATTTTGTCTTCAAGCCCCATACTCCCAGACAAATTGGTCGGCAAGGTGGCTGCCCCTGGATCCAACAACGGCGTTCCAATCCCCTCCAATGATGAGGACGAAGTTGTCCCTGTCCGCTTCCAGCTTGCAGGCCGACAGGACGTCATACACGGCCTCAACTTCTGCGTCTGGCAGAAAACGATGTGGAAGATAAGCAGAGACAAAGCGCAACCGCGTGGCTCCGAACGACACATCAAGCCAATACGCCCTGTCTGATATAGCCTAAAATCAAATAGTCGAGGACGACCAGCGCCGGCGAAGTAAGACTGCAACCCTGTTTCTTCCAGAGTCGCTTCTGGCCCCACAAGAAACATGCTTGTTATCAAGGTCGACTGCTCCTCTTTGGTGTCTCGCCATGTTTCGTTCAGCAGTATGGCGCCCCAGTGCGTCAGAAAACCAACTTCTCTCAAGAAATCTGCAAACCGACCCTCTGTTCATTTGGACTGCACATTACACATCATGACGGCAGAAGAAATGGACAATTCTTGAAGCTTCGCGTATTCCCACCAGCCCGTAGCCTGGCTCAAGCCACTCTGGCTCGAGGGAGCCTAGCCGGCTTGCGCCTGTCGGGCCTGCCGCCGACGAGGGCCTGGAGGAAGCCCCGCTCCTCCCTCCAGGCCCTCGTCCCCGGGCCATGGAGTCTCGCTTGGCGCGGCGGCGGCGGCTGCGACGTGCTGCCGTCTGCCGCGCCGCTGCCCGCGCCGCCGGCGCCGCTGGTGCCGCGTCGGCCGCGGGCGCCGGTGGCGCCGCGCCCGCGACCGGCGTCACGGGCGATGCCGGCTTCGCGGCCGCTCCGCGCGCCTCGCCGCTTCCGGGGCTGGCGCCTCGGGCTGCCGCGGCGGCCGGCCGTGGCGAGGCCGCCGCGGCCGCCGGCGCTGTGGCGCGTGCTGCGGCGCTGGGGCCGGCCGCGGCGGCCGCGGCCGCCGCGGGCGCGGCGGCCGCCGCCGTGGCCGCGGCGGCCGCGGGTGCCGCCGCGGCTGCCGGAGCGCCTGCCGAGGCCGGCGTGGCCGCCGCCGCCGCCGTCGCCGACGCCGGCGGGCCGCTGGCGGCGGCCGCTGATCGTGTCGCCGGGGACGGCGGCTGGCTGGCCGCGGCTGCGGGTTCCGCCGCGCCCTCCGCGGCGCCCTCCGCGGCCGCCGCCGCCGCCGCCGCCGCCGAGGACAGCCTCTCGTGCAGCGGGTGGGGCGACTGGGCGCTGTACTCGGACTCCCCGCCGCGCGCCTTCGAGAGCAAGCTGGGCGTGCAAGCGCCTGTGGGCGTCTGGGGCCCCGCAGGCTTCACGCAGGACGGTGACGCCGCGGCCCTCAGGAGGCGCCGCGAGACTGATGTCTCCCCGTCCTTCGAGGGGGAGTTCGAGGTCAGTTCGAACGGTCTGGCCGCCCTCCCCACGGTGCCAGAACCAGGCTGGCTGCAGATCGTGGCGCATTGCCTCTACTGCGAGTCGGGCCCGTTTGGGGTACAACCTGGACCCCAGCGGTTCCGAGGTGTACAAGAGGGAGGACACCGCGGTCCCTGAAAAGATGAAGCGGTCCCTGAACGCGGAGCTGGCCAACGGCCGCCTGGCTATGATGGCCATCATCTGGATGTTCCTCCAGGACGGCCTCATGGGCTCCGCTTGGGGCGACTGGGTGACCTACACGGATTCGCCGCTGCGCGCCCTCGAGAGCGAGTGGGACCTGCTGCCGCCCGTCGGCCACTGGGACCCGCTCGGCCTTGCGAAGGACGTCTGTGCGGACGTCCTCCACAGGAAGATGGGCATCGAGGTCGAGCACGGCCGCGTCACCATGTGGGCCGCCATAGGGTACATCGTGCAGAAGTTCTTCTTGTGGCCAGGAGGTGTCGTCCTCGAGGGACCTGCCCTTGCGAGTCTTCCGAAAGGCTTGAGCATTCCGGGCAAGGTGTCTGGTGCCGACTGGGGGCAAATGTTTCTGCTCTTCGGCTCCCTCGAGCGTCGCGCGGCCAGACAGGGCCCAACGGATCCTCCGGGCAGTCTCAGCAGGACCGAGGCGGGCTTCGGAAAGTCGTACTTCGGGGCCTTCGGAGGGTTCAAGGGGGGCAGCATCGAGGACCCTGAGAAGAGCAAGCGGTCCCTGAGCGCGGAGCTGGCCAAGGGCCGCCTGACCAGGACGGCCATCATCGGGATGTTCTTCCAGGACAACCGCACGGGCTCCGCCCGGGGCGACGGGGTGACCTACTCAGGCTCGCCGCTGCGCGCCCTCGAGAGCGAGCTGCGCGTGCAGGCGCCCGTCGGCCACTGGGGCCCGCTCGACCTCAGCGACCTCGCTGAGGTCCACGTTCACAACCACGTCGACGACGACCACGACCGCGACGGATACGAAGACGACCACGACCACGACCCTGACGACTCGACCTCCCCCATGCGGGCACACATCGCCGACCCCTCCCTCTCCTCCGTCAATTTACCAGATCTTGCGGCTATCTGCTGCGCCTCCTCCTCTCCTCCTCCCCCGACTGCGCAGGGCACTCTCCCAGCAGGGCGTGGGCGCAACCCGCAGGTTGTGCCATGCTCCTCCCGCGCCGTGCAAGGAGAACATCCCCAGGCTCAGGCTGAGGCCACCAACGCCCCCCCCCCCCCTTCCAGCAGGGCCAACAGGCCAGAGGAAAGGAGTGGGTAGTTACGGCGGAGGCGGCGGAGGCCGTGGAAGCCGCGGAACATCCCCCTCAGGATAATCAGCCCGCCAGCTGTCCTCTGGGGGGGCCACGCGCTCTGCAGGGGGACCGCAGAGCTGCCACCCAGACGCGGGACAGCGAAGCCATGCGCCGGTTCGTCGAGAGAAACCTCTTCGCGCCTATTCGCCCTCCGTCCCCTGACAGTGACCGGCTGCGCCACAGCTGCCGCAGCTGCTACTGCAGCAGCAGCAGCGGCAGCTTGCCCCCCCCCGTTTCGTCGACTGAAGACAACGTTCCAGGAGGGAAGCGACGCGCGGTTGAGGCAGAGGCCGCGATGCCACCCCCCACTTCGTGGACAGACGATGGTGTCCTGGTCGGGAATCGAGAGGAGGTTGCCAGCAGTGACCAGTGCGCAGCTCACACGAACGTTCCCCCGCTTCAGCTGCACAAGCAGGCCAGAGGAAAGGAACGGGAAGCCACTGCGGAGACGGCGGAGGCTGCGGAAGACGCGGAGTACCCCCCTCTGGACAAACTGTCCGTCAGCAGTCCTCTGCGCCAGCAAGACAGAGGAATGGTGGGGGAAGTCGCGGCAGAGACGGCGGGGGCTGCGGAAGCCGCGGGATTTCCCCCACAGCGCAACCAGTGCGCCAGCTGTCCTCCGGGACGCAGTCTCCAGGGCGCGGCCCATGCGAACGACCCTCGAGAGGAGGCAACATACAGCGACCAGTGTACGGCTCAAGCGCAGGGCACTCTCACTGCAGGACATGGGCGCAACCCATATCTCGGCACAGGCGAAGCCGAGGCCGACGCCGAAGCCAACGACGACGCCGACGCCGACGCCGACGCCGACGACGCTGACGTCGACGACGTTGACGCCGACAACGACGTGGTTGCGCCATGTTCCCCCCGCGCCGTGCAAGGAGAGCATCCCCAGGCTGAGGCTGTGGCAGACGTCTCGGGCCACTATACGCGGACGCACGCCTGCGAGGGAAGAGCCATCCAAGACGACTCGACTTGCCCCACGCGAGGATACATCGCCGATCCCCTCTCCTCCTTCAATGTACCTGATCTTGCGGCTATCGGCTGCGCCTCCCCCCCCCCTCCTCCTCCTACTGCTCGGGGCACTCTCACTGCAGGGCATGGGCGCAACCCGCAGGCTGTGCCGCGTTCCCCCCGCACCGCGCAAGGAGAGCATCCCCGGGCTGAGGCTGAGGCAGACGACTCGGGCCACGATGCGCGGGCGCTCAGTGCTGCGCAGGGCACTCCTACTGCAGGACATGGGCACAACTCCCATCCTGGCACGCGCCGCCCAATTGGGGGCAGTTCCCCCCGCGCCGCGCCAGTCTGGCGGCCAACCTTGAGGGCTGCAGTTCCCCACGGGGTCCTGCCGGGCGCGCAGCTGGAGCTGTCGCGAGCAGATCGCGAGCCCCCCAGCCAGGACAGCGAGGCCCTTGCGGTGGATACTGGCGGCCAGGACACACGGCCACACCAGAGGCCCAGCCCGCGGCGATGGCCAGAGCCCAAAGACCCCCACACGGGGCAGCAGCTGTACAAAACAGGAATCAACAACATCCTGTGGGACCTCCCCGGGGAGACGCCCGGCGAAGCGATGCGACGACTCCAAGTCACACTAGGACTTATGTTCACTGGCACCTGGCACGCTTTCGCCAAGCGGCAGTCTGTGCCCGGCAGAGAGGGCGCACTCGACCCGCTTCGGCACTACCCGCAGACCTGCCACCTGTTCTTGGAGTCTTTCCGCAGCCACAAGTCCGACGTGCGGGTCTTCAGCGCCGCGCTGGGCCTCAACGTCGACTGGGCCCGGCAGTGGCAGCTGCACCTGGGTCGGCGGCGCCCGGCCCACGTGGCTTTGCGAGCCGCCCACAGCTGGGGGGCCACGGGCCACGGGACAGCCATCCAGACACAGGACAACGCAGCCCTTCGTCGGCCCTTCCTCTGACCCATACGGGGTAACTGCCACGGGTGACGCTGCTGTCCTGCACAAGTGGTGCATCCTTTGGCAGGCTCCTCCTTCCCACGGCGGGCCCGGCCCTGCTGTGGAGGTTGTTCCCCCAGATCCTGCGACGGAGTGCATCCGACGACTGGTGGCCTTGCTCTGGTGGCGTTTCCCCCCCGCTAGGCTGGCGCCTTCCCGCTGACTACACTCCGACTACGCCTTGTTGGGTCCTCGGCTGCTTGTTTCGCCACGCCGGGTCCTGTAGGCCTCGTGCGCGGCCGCGGCGTCGACCCTGGCGGCGGCCACAAACGACTGACGACCAGAAGAAAACGGACGCTTAAGGACACGGGGGAACGGTCGCTTAAGGACACGGGGAACACGGGCGTGGGTCGGAGCGGAATGACACTGCGGAAGCGGCGGAGGCTGCGGCAGCCGCGGAGCATCCCCCTCTGGACAGTCGGTCCGACTGTGACGACGATGCGCTTCCGACGAGGCTCCGAGGTGGCCTTGCTCTGGTGGCGTTTCCCCCCCACCAGGCTGGCGCCTTTCCCCTGTCTACATTCCGACTTCGCCATGTTGGGTCCTCGGCTGCCTGTGTCGCCACAGTCTGTGTCGCCTGGCCCACCTACGCCTCTCCTTCCTCCAGTATTCACTTGATTTGCGGCTATCGCTTGCCCTCCTCCCCCTCCTCCACGCACGCCGAGGTGCTGCACATCCTACGACTGGTGGCCTTGCTCTGGTGGCGTTCCCCCCCCACCAGGCAGGCGCCTTCCCTCTGACTACATTCCGACTACGCCATATGCTATGAAGTCGTACGAGGGCTGCAGCGCCGCGGCGGACTGGGACCCGAACTGGTGCTACGTGCAGGGCGGTTCCACTTGCAACCAGGCCCGGAACCCCACCGTGGTCGGCGAGACGCGCAGGTGGCGCGAGTGCGGCTCCTGCATCTGCATGACGGAGTGGAACTAAGATGGCAATGCCGACGGGGTTATGGAGCCTACGAGGGCTGCAACGCCACGACCGACTGGGACCAGAGCTGGGCTACGTGCAGGGCGGTTCCACTTGCAACCAGGCCCCGGGCTCCACCGTGGTCGGCGAGACGCGCAAGTGGCGCGAGCGCGGCTCCTGCGACTGCATGACGGAGTGGAACTACGATGGCGACGCCGACGGGGTTATGGAGTCGTGCGAGGGCTGCAACGCCGGGCCATTTGGGACCAGAGCTGGAGTTACGTGCAGGGCGGTTCCAACTGCAGCTAGGCCCTGGACTCCACCTTAGTCGTTGAGACGCGCAAGTGGCGCGAGTGCGGCTCCTGCAACTGCGTGACGGAGTGGAACTACGTTGGCGATGCCGACGGGGCTATGGAATCGCACGAGGGTTGCAGCGCCACGGCAGACTGGGACCAGAGCTGGCGCTACGTGCAGGGCGCTTCCAAGTGCAACCAGTATCTGAGCCCCACCGTGGTCGGCGAGACGCGAAAGTGGTGCGAGTGCGGCTCCGGCAACTGCAGGACGGAGTGGAACTACGATGGCGTTGCCGCCGGGGTTATGAAGTCGTACGTAGGCTGCAGCGCCACGGCCGACGGGGACCAGGGCTGGTGCTACGTGCAGGGCGGTTCCAAGTGCAAACAGTATCTGAGCCCCACCGTGGTCGGCGAGACGCGCAAGTGACGCGTGTGCGGCTCCTGCAACTGCAGGACGGAGTGGAACTGCGATGGCGTTGCCGCCGGGGTCATGGAGTCGTACGAGGGTTGCAGCGCCGCGGCCGATTGGGACCAGAGCTGGTGCTACGTGCAGGGCTGTTCCAACTGCAACCAGGCCCTGGACTCCTCCGTGGTCGGCAAGACGCGCAAGTGGCGCGAGTGCGGCTCCCGCAATTGCATGACGGAGTGGAACTGCGATGGCGATGCCGACGGGGTTCTGGAGTCGTACGAGGGCTGCAGCGCCGCGGCCGACTTGGACCAGAGCTGGTGCTACGCGCAGGGCATTTCCAACTGGAATCAGGCCCTGGGCTCCACCGTGGTCGACGAGACGCGCATGTTGGGTCCTCGGCAGTCTGTGTCGCCTGGCCCACCTACGCCTCTCCTTCCTCCAGTATTCACCTGATTTTCGGCTATCGTTCGCCCTCCCCCCCCTCCTCCACGCGCGCCGTGGTGCTGAACATCCGACGACAGGTGGCCTTGCTCTGGTGGCGTTCCCCCCCCGCCAGACAGGCGCCTTCCCTCTGGCTACATTCCGACTACGCCGTGTTGGGTCCTCGACTGCCTGTGTCACCACACGGCTCTCTTCCTCCTCCTTTGTTTTCCACTGATTGCGGCTATCGGCTGCGCCCCCCCCCCCTCCTTCACGACGACTGCGGTGGCGGGCCATTCGACCACCACCTGCGGGTGGGCCCTGGTTAGGCACTCTCCTGCACAAGTGGTTCATCCTTTGGCAGGCTCTGCCTTTCCTCGGCGGGCCCGTCCCGCTGCGCGACGCCGACGACCTTCCCCCCTGACTCGCCCCGGGCAACGCTCTGTTGGGTCCTCGGCAGTCCGTGTCGCCTGGCCCCCTTTTCCGACCTCGCCATGTTGGGTCCTCACGTCAATTCCTCAGGTGCCGGGTTCAGTGGGACCCGCTTCGAGCGCTCCGTGAGTAAGACTCGAACACGTGAGGTGTTCTGTGAGTGAGGCCTGGTTTCCTCCCCCCCTTCCCTCGTCGCCGCCCGCGTCGCCCCCTCCTCCCCCCCTCGTCGTGTTGAGCTGGCGCCGTCTCGGCGACTCCTCACATTCTCGACGCTAAGATGCGTCTCCCTGAAGACGACGACTTGTATTGGGGCTGGTCGGGTTACGCTTTGCACCGGCCCATGAATATATTTTGTCGTGTTGAGCTGGCGCCGTCTCGGCGACTCCTCGCATTCTCGACGCTAAGATGCGTCTCCGTCAATTTAGTTCATTTCGCTCTGTGAATGTGCAGCTGCGAGCTTTCGCACATCATCTGGCTCTGTGCCCCAGTCAGCCCGATGGACCCGCCCTCTGGACTCTTCCTTGCGGGCCGCAGATCAAAAAGTATCCCCACCAGCCCATCCAGAAACGATCAGCAGGGGAGTTGGTGAATCAGGGGCGGCAGAACGCATGCAGTCGCGCAGCCGTCTTCGAGAACACAAGCATCACACATAGCTTCCCGCATTGAAATTTAAGTTGGAAGTCGGTGCAAATTACGATGGTGTTTCGATGAGAGGTGAGGGGTATTTCGATGACTCGTAATGGCTGTTGCACTGACTTGTATATTAAACTCGCGTGCGTTCCGAAACTTGGAGGCATCTTGGGGCCCTCTTGGGATTCTCTTGGGCCCCTCTTGGGGTCTCCTGGGGCTCTTTCTTGGGGCTCTCCTGAGGTCCTCTTAGGGCCTTCTTGGGGCTCTTTTGGGGCCTTTTGGGGCCCTCTTCGGTCTCTTTTGGAGGGTCTTGGAGCCCTCTTGGGGCTCTTTGGGGGGGTTCTGGGAGGCCTCTCGGGGCCGTCTTGGTCCTTATGGCTAAAGAAGGGGGGGGGGGGGGGCAATTCTTGCCCCCCCCTTCGGAGGCTCAAAAATGCTGTTTTGGGACCCTCGTGGCCCGCTTCTTGGAGCGTTCTTGGGCGCTCTTGGGGCTGTTTTGGGGCTCTCTTGGGCCCCTCTTGGGGCTGTCTTGGGCCATCTTGGGGTCATCTTGAGGCCTCACGAGTTTTTCGGAGGCGAAAAAGCGAGAAGGCAAAAAACATGGATGTTCCTTAGGTTGTTGAAGGATTTGGGCCTCTTGGGGGGGTCCTTGGAGGCCTCGGAGGGCACTTGAAACCGTCTTGGGGCCGTCTTGAGGCCTCTTGGACGCGTGTCGGAGGCTATCTTGACCCGTCTACCGCTATCTTGGGCCATCTTGGAGGCCATCTTGCGCTCTCGGAGGCCCTCTTGGAGCCATCTTGGGCCATCTTGGACGCTGCTATGGGTCCTTCCCCCCCCCGGTCCAAACGCAGGGAGGGGGGGGGGAGGTAAACCTACCGAGCAGGGAAAGGCAGGAGGTTGGAAAGGGAAACGCCCTAGACCACCTGCGCCCAGAGGGCTGGTGGGATTCTTCACTGCCGGCGTATCCCCTGTCGGGGAAGCGCGCGCAATTGTGAATGTTGCGAAAATTGACCTTCGATGTAGAAGTGAATGGTGTATGAGAATTTGGCTCCGACGGGAACCACTCGTCAATTCTGGCGGCAACGCCTCCTACTCGCCGAGCAGATCGTTGACAGCACCCTCCACCTTAGCGATGTCGATGTCGATGCCGAGCTTCTGGAACTCAGCGCCGTCCAACTTGAAAGTGCCACCGTTCTCTTCCGACCATTTTCTGGCCCGCCGACGCTTCACCATCAATATCCTCGACGGGTAGTTCACACGTACGTCTTCCGGTTGTACCACTCCCAGCTCCATGAGAGCTCGCTTGTATTTGCAAAGGGTCTGAGTTCTTTTCCGTTCTGCTGGGCTTTTGGTAGCAGTTTCCCACTGATCTCTCTACTTGTATTTCGGCCTCGACTTCCCAACAAGACTGGCGAAGTAGTTTTTGTGCCCCCTGGGGTGCCGAAAGCTTCCCAGGTGCGCCTCAGAGGACCCAGCGAAACTATCCCTGCGCGCCCCCAGCGCACGTTCCGCGAGGCAACTGGAACCCCAACGGGTCCCCCAGAGCACACGAGCCTCCAAGACACTCCAGAAGTTCCCAGCAGCAAGATGAGACGAGCACCATGAGCACATATCTCTTCGTCTGAACTCTTCCCCGTAGCCCAGTGAAGCCCCCAAGAGGCAGATCCTTCCTTGCCCATGCCACTCTCACAAATCATCCCTACCTGCATTTCAAGGTCGGGGTTCGTGGCAATATCAGGTTCCCTCTCTGAGCCAGCCCCCCCTGACGTTCCCCCTCAGGTGGGAGACTGGGTCGACGTGCGCGACTTCGACCTGTGGCGGGGCTGCCGAGTCTCGGCGAAGACCGAGGCAGAGCTGATCTTGCAGGTGCCCTCGCGCTGGGGCCCCGGCTACTCCGAGCTTCGGCTCCCGCGGTCGTCCCCTCAGCTGGCGCCCTTCCGCTACAAGTCCCGAGGCCATTCCGTGCAGGAGCGTACGCCTGCGGACTGGGAGCAGGTGCACAAGCTGAAAACATCGTAAACATAGATTGTCCGAGGTCCGCGCAGATTGCTTGGATCTGCGCTGGACTCCCTTCCCTGGCGCGCGGAGCGCGCCAGGTGGAGCCAGCGCCGATCCAAGAAATCTGCGGAGAGGTCAGAAAGTGTGTGTGTGTGTGTATGCATGCCGTTATCCTTTGTTCCAATCTAAGGTGGCGGCCGAGTGCCGCCGCTGCTGCCAGCGGCTCACGGCGCTGGAGGCGGTGCTCCCGGACCCGGCCCCCGCGGGCTGGTCGCCCCACAGTGTCACCGGCCTGCTCTGCGGGGACGTGCCCGAGCTGGTGGACCAGCTCGGAGAGGAGAGAAAGCGGCACGAGCGCTCACTGGTCAGAGGTCTGCGCGGGCTTCCTGGATCGGCCCTGGGCCCCCCTTAGCGCCGCCGTCGGCGGCGCCCCTGGCGCGCTCCTCGGGCGTTGCGCAGCAGGGGGATCCAGGGCTGCAGGAGCTGGGGCCCCGAGGGGGCCCCCTTTCGGGCCCCGGAGGTGCACGAAAGGAAGGTGAGCCTTTCTCCTCCCCCCCCCCCCCGTGCATGGCCCCCCATTGCGCAACACCCGAGCTCCGCGCGCCAGGGAGGGGGGCCAAGTGCCGATCCAAGGAGTCCGCGCGCGCGGACCTCTGGAAGCTGGTGGATTTTCATGTCGTCCGCTTTCGTTTGGTCCTCTTTCGGATCGTCCTCTATCGTTTCGCCTTCTTTCGAAACCCGGGCGAGATGAAACTGGAGGAACCGCAGCAGACAAATCGAAGCGGACGAAGTGAAGCGGACGAGATGAAATTCGGACGACATGGAGCGGAGTCAAGCCAGCCTGCTTGCGCGCCGCCCTTCCCTTCTCCCGCCAGCTGCTGACCCGTGAGTACGCGGCCGCGGGGCCGTCAGCCGGGGCGCAGGCGCGGGAGGCGAACAGGATTCAGGGGCAGCGTTAGGGTGATGGGCTCAGGGGGAGATGCATCGACCCCAATCGCCCGAGGATCGCCGACAAGGGCCTGATAGCTCACTCCGCCCTGGAGCGGGCGCCTCTGCTATCGGGTGCCTATCTCGCCGATCTATCGGCGATCTTTCGCTGATTCCAGCTCGATAGTTCGCCCCCCGCCCCCCCGAGTCGGTTCACCGCGAACGTTGCCGTTCAAGGATGCTGCTGCAGTTCCTGCGCTTCTTCTGCACCTGGCTCCGCTGCGCGCCCCGGCTCCTCCTCGCCGAGGGGCGCCGGCTGTCCGCGCCGCCAGCCGCCCTCTCCTGCGTGGTGGCCGCGTGTGCCGCCGCGCTCCCCGACCTCGCGGCCGTGTTCGGCCGCGCCATCGGGATGGGGGAGGAAGTCGGGGGGAGGTGGCAACGGGCGCCGACCAGCAGAGGAGGTCGAGCTGAGGTAACGGTGGTTGGCCTTCGGGGGGGGGGCCCTCGTCGCTACGGCTGGACGCAGCCCGGAGAAGGCTCGTGCGCTTGGGCCCCGAGGGCGGTCCGAGGACCGACTTGGGGTTGCTGTTGCTTCAACTTGCCCTGCTGCAAGACAAGGGGGGGCTGGCTGCCTGGCTCAGGGGGGGAAGCATCGGGCACCCACCTGCCCAGTCCCCCATCGGAGGCCTGTCGCCGATCTGTCGGCGGTGTGTCATGTATTCCAGGTCATTGTTTCTCCGCCCACGAAGGTCCCCCACTCCAGCACCCCCTCAGGTGGAAGGCGGACTGCCGTGCCAGAGCCTTCTTCGACGCCCACCACGCGCTCCCAGAGCGCGACGGGGCCACCGCGCTGTGGCCCGGGGCCGAGGAGGCGTGGCTGCGCGAAGCGGTCGCCGCCGCCACGGGAGGCCCGGGGCGCTCCGGCAGCGTCAGCGTGCCGCGTTCGTGGCTGCTGGTGAAGCTGAGAGGCATCGACGAGGACGCGACGGCGGTGGAGGTCTCGGTTCTGGAGGAGGCGCTGCGGCAGGCGACCCTGTGGCAGTTCAACGTGGCCACGTTCAGCGCCATGGGTGGCTTCCAGGCGCTGCTGGGCGCCGTGGCAGTCGGGACGCTGGGAGGCGCCGGGGCTGACGGCCGTGGCCCAGCGGGCGTCTCCCCCGAGCATCCGAACCACCAAAAAACACGAATTGAAAACAAAATTATGCTAACGGAGTTCCCCACATATAGATGTTACGGGGTTAGCGTGATCACGAGGGCATACAAGCAGTATCAAACATGAAAGCCAATCATGTGTAGATATGTTTATGGAAAGGCCGACGAAGGCGAGGAGGGGAAACAGCACGGAAGGATGATGGATGTGTAGGACGCGGTCCACAGAAGTCGTATCGTCTTTCGCATCATCATGAGCATCAGCATCGTCATACTCATCATTAGCATCGTCGTCGTCATCGTCGTCGGCGTTATCATGGTCATCATCATCAGCATCATCACCAGCGTCATCATCAGTATCATCATCGCCATCGACACTACCGTCGCCACCATCATCAGCATCGTCTCTCGCTCGTCCTTGTCCTCCTCCTCCCCCTCATCATCATCGACCTCCTTCTCCCTGGCGGGACCCCCCAGAAGGGGTGCTCTGTTGGCCTCCCTGGAGGGGTGGGAGGGGCACGAAACCTGATTGATAACATGGTGTGCGAATACCTGCTCGCTCAGGCGGGGCCTCCCTGGAGGGGTGGGAGGGGCACCAAACCTGATAAATCACATGGTGTGCGAATGCCCTGCTCGCTCAGGCGGGGCCTCCCTGGAGGGGTGGGAGGGGCACGAAACCTGATGAATAACATGGTGTGCGAATACCCTGCTCGCTCAGGCGGGACCTCCCTGGAGGGGTGGGAAGGCCACGAAACCTGATGAATAACATGGTGTGCGAATACCCTGCTCGCTCAGGCGGGACCTCCCTGGAGGGGTGGGAAGGCCACGAAACCTGATAAATAACATGTGGTGCGAATACCCTGCTCGCTCAGGCGGGGCCTCCCTGGAAGGGTGGGAGGGGCACGAAACCTGATAAATAATATGGTGTGCGAATACCCTGCTCACTCAGGCCGGGCCTCCCTGGAGGGGTGGGAGGGGCACGAAACCTGATAAATAACATGGTGTGCGAATACCCTGCTCACTCAGGCGGGGCCTCCCTAGAGGGGTGGGAGGGGCACGAAACCTGATAAATAACATGGTGTGCGAATACCCTGCTCGCTCAGGCGGGGCCTCCCTGGAGGGGTGGGAGGGGCACGAAACCTTAAATAACATGGTGTGCGAATACCCTGCTCGCTCAGGCGGGGCCTCCCTGGAGGGGTGGGAGGGGCACGAAACCTGATAAATAACATGGTGTGCGAATACCCTGCTCGCTCAGGCGGGGCCTCCCTGGAGGGGTGGGAGGGGCACGAAACCTGATAAATAACATGGTGTGCGAATACCCTGCTCACTCAGGCCGGGCCTCCCTGGAGGGGTGGGAGGGGCACGAAACCTGATAAATAACATGGTGTGCGAATACCCTGCTCGCTCAGGCGGGGCCTCGATAAATGGAGAGGCACGAAACCTGATAAATAACATGGTGTGCGAATACCTGCTCGCTCAGGCGGGGCCTCCCTGGAGGGGTGGGAGGGGCACGAAACCTGATAAATAACATGGTGTGCGAATGCCCTGCTCGCTCAGGCCGGGCCTCCCTGGAGGGGTGGGAGAGGCACGAAACCTGATAAATAACATGGTGTGCGAATACCCTGCTCGCCCTGGAGGGGTGTGAGGGGCACGACACCTGATAAGTAACATGGTGTGCGAATACCCTGCTCGCTCAGGCGGGGCCTCCCTGGAGGGGTGGGAGGGGTACGAAACCTGATAAATAACATGGTGTGCGAATACCCTGCTCGCTCAGGCGGGGCCTCCCTGGAGGGGTGGGAGGGGCACGGAGCCTGATAAATAACATGGTGTGCGGATACCTTGCTCGCTCAGGCGGGGCCTCCCTGGAGGGGTGGGAAGGCCACGAAACCTGATAAATAACATGGTGTGGTGGTATGGTCTGGTATGGTCTGGTATGGTGTGGATTGGTATTAGTTGGTGGTGTGCATGGTGTGGTAAGGATTGGTATGGTTGGTGTGACGTGGTATAGCATGGCATGGTATGGTATGGTATGATATGGCATTGTACTGTATGGCATGGCATGGCATGGTATGACATGGCATTGTATTGTATGGTATGGCATGGCATGGTATGATACGGCGTTGCATGGTATGGTATGGTAAGGTATGGTGTGGAGAGGCATGGTATGGTATGGGATGGTGGATGCATGGTATGGTATGGTAAGGTATGGTTTGGAGTGGCATGGTATTGGTATGGTATGATACGGTATGGGGTGGTGGAGGAAGCGGGAGGAAGAGGAGGAGGAGGAGGAGGAGGAGAGGATGTTCCGGGAAAACACGAACCCCACTCAGGATGTGGGGAAGAAAAGCCACTTCCAACGTTTAGAGCTAAGGCTTTAATTTTTGCGTTCGGATTTATTTTTTTTTTGGAATTTGACAAGAGGGCTAGATGAACTGTGCGTGATGATGTTATTTTCAATCTCGAGCGAGAGCCCGTTTCAAGAACGTGTAGGCCGAGGCCATCCCCAGAACGAGGACCCAGAGCGTCCATCTGTCGCCTTAGTCACCGACCACAGCCTTGGTCACAGCAGCCCTCGCGTAATAGCAATTTGGGTTCAAGCTATGCCGTTGACAGGAGGGGTTCGCCAAAACCTGAAAAGACAACGTCAAGATGAATCCACGACCGATGACCATAGTGTTCTGGAAAATGATGCTGATGAGATTCGTGCGTTTCATTTTGGTGGTCGCCAGAAAGCGGCGAAATTGGGACAATTTCTGGCAAGCATGTATCTGGTTGGTCGTGTGAGCGCTCCAGAGATTGTCGAAGGTTGCTTGGCAGCGAAAGCATCTGGCGTTGGACAACACGAGGAGGCATTGCGCGATATCGCATCAGCTGGTTCTGGCGGGAAGCATCGTGGCAATTGTCATCGAGATGTTAGTTCGAAGCTCAATCGGCGAACTGATAAGCCAATGTTGTGTGCATCCACTGTTCCTTTCTGGGATAACGACAAAGAGGAGAAGGTTGACCAAGTGTGTTATTTCCTGCTGCCACACGGGATCACCGACTGGGTCCGTCAGAAACCAGCCGATTCTTCAGTTTTCTTTACGTGTGTCAACGATCGAATACAGGATAAGTTGAACAATTGGAAACGTCGCATGGGCGTGGACGGTGATACAGTGGCTTGTGGTCTTTGGGGTGACAGCGCAACTTTCCATACGCGGGATCGATTATTCTTGATTTGGTTTAACATTCTGGCGAAGGGGCAACACGTGAAGCGCTATTGGATCTGCAGCTTCGCCAAAACATCTGCTTGCAAGTGCGGCTGCTTCGGAAGATGTACATACGATGCAATATTCAGAGTTCTTGCCTGGTCATTCTCTTCTCTACTCTCTGGTGAATTTCCAAGCGTGCGTGATGACGGGATTGCTTTCACAGATTCAACGTTGATTGGGGGCAAGGCCCGAGCCTCCCAAGCTGGCGCTGCCCTTCGAACTAAAGGGGGGGGGGTCGCGCAGAAACGGGGGGACTGGAGCTGGATGAAAAATTCGCTCGGCATGGTCGGCTGGGGGGGGGGGTGAAGGAGCAGAGAAGCGCTGCTGCTATAAGTGCATGGCCAATGAGACGCTCATACCGTTTACCGACCCGACTGAAGCTGCCCTCTGGCGGGCCACTATGCTCACGCATGCATCATACATTGCTACCTGCTCCAACGAAGGATCCTGCGCGTCGAGGTTGTTCGAAATACCTGGGTTCCAATTCGAGTACGTCGGCATTGACCTCGTGCACTGCTTCGACCTCGGCGTCTGCCAATATTTCTGCGCATGTGTTCTCTATGAGTTGTTCCTCGAATTCAATGGCGTCTTCTCCGGGCCGAATGATCAGGCGATGTTGGATCGCGTTTCGCGCAGCTGTGCTCGGGAGGGGCGGGGGAATGGAGACGCGCTGGAACGCAAACTTATCGGGCACTGGGAAGCCGCAAGCAAATGAGAATCGTAGAGGGCGAACTCCATCCCTCCCCCCTCCCCCAAGCGCAGAGCCGAGCGAAACAGTAATCCCAAATCAGTTGTCATACATGCTGATGCTGATCAAACAGGCAGCTAAGAGCTTGGGTTTCGACAAGCCAGCTGTCCACAAACTGACGTTGACCACGGTTCGCAGCAAGGGCGCCCCAACAATGAACGAAAACATCGGGGGGCAAAGAACTCAGGGGGCCGTTGAACCACATCCTCGAGCACATGGTTCCTATGGACACTGACCACAAGCGGCAGCGTTTTCATGCGTGCAGGTGCTCCACACTCATATACAAAGAGCTCGAATCATGAGGCCCTGGTTCTGGTGATACGGTTGCCGGGCTGGCCCGACAAGGACTCGTTCTTTATGGGGGGGTATGCAAAAAGGTGGTATCGTCAGTAGGGCATGGCAGCGCCGAGGCTTCGCGCTCTTGAAATTGCATTTCAAAATGCATCAGCTGCAGCATTGCCTGGGGGCCCAGGTGCGAGACAGCGGTGACCCCAGGCTGCGCTGGCGTTACTGCGACGAGTCTGAGATTGGCGCTGGAGTAAGAGTCGCAGAGAGTGTGCGTCCCAGCATGGTCCACAGAGGCGCGTTGCAGAAACATAGGTTACAGCCGTGGTAGTTGCCAACCTGTTCCATGATCCATATCATGTGGCGCTACGTTTCGCGCGACAATTTAAAACGTAAGCAAAAATCGCATCCAGTGTCATCGCCAGGGATCGCACTCGAGCCAGTAGAGCGCGAGGAGGAGGAAGAGGCGGAGGAGGAGTAAGAGGAGGAGGAGGAGGAGGAGTGAGAGGAGTAGGAGGAGTAAGAGGAGGAGGAGGAGGAGGAGGAGGAGGAGGAGGAGGAGGAGGAGGGGGAGGCGGAGAAGGAGGAGGAGGAGGACGATGATGATGATGATGACGGCGATGCTAATGAGGAGGGGGGGAAGGGGAGGGGAGAGAACGCTGGGGCGCCCGCGACGACGACGACA